AAATGCGCACTTGCGGCACTTTCATTTGTAACATGTGGCACTTTTGGCACTAAAATGCGCACTTGCAGAACTAAATTATACCTTATCGGGCCTTACTTAAACGGATATAATTATGAACGGACATTAATACGAACGCTAGAAAGCAATCAAAACCATCAAAAATCCGAATTTTTCATCTTTTTTTTACGTTTTTTGATTTAAGCAAATGATTTTTAAATCAATCTTTCATACAGTAAGCAAGAAAAGCAATCTTAAATCAGTTAACGTGTTAAAATATGTGTACATGATTATTGTCTTATATCACATATCATCTTCATCAAATGGGTTTTCGTGCATTAAAAATTCCATGCTTAAAGCATCAGTAATACCCGCTTTTTGGAAACATTTTTTATCAAACTACCTCGGTCCTTTAAGTGTCAACTTTTACTAGCCATTCAGCGTTAAGTGGTTTTATCTTAGAAAACTTTAGGTTAACCTTAACATCACGTGGATCTTTCCCAGCACTTATCTGTTTCATTATCTCCCCTAAGCTAACAAGTTTGTCATGTTGGCGGGGACTAACTCATGAACTATGTTATTTAGTGCCATAATTTTGTTGACTTTTTCCGTCAAGTGACCCTTGAAAACATCATATATACTAGAAAACATCATGGGTATAGGACGCAGCGGCGGAAGTCACTGCGGCGGTGTACAGTCCGGCGGAGGACGGTACAGCGGAGGTCGGTACGGCGGTAGTTTCCAAAAAGGTTGGACGGTACGGCGGATCACATGACACCCACTTTACTTTGGACAGTACGGCGGTACTACTACTACTAGAAACTGTACCTATAAGATAGACCTAGCACTGCTAATATAACAAAATCGATTAGCTTTAAAAAGTTGTATTTTCCTCTTTGTTACTTTGAAATTAATTTTAATTAAAATTAAATTGGATAAAGTTTAACATATACATTGTGATTGCTAAGAACAGTTCTTGTTCCACTTTCTGGTTCGTATCAGATCGCGTCCGGTCTGCACAACGGTGGTTAAGCGAGTGCATGATGAGTTTGTTACGGTGAGATCTCATATCACTGCGCCGAGATGCAATGGGTAATAACAAGGGCATGAGAACACGTCACGAGGGATCGCATCCAGGAATCTGATCAACCGTAGCCAAGAAGAGAGGTTGCTCAGTGAAACGTAGATAATGATAGAGGCAAACAGTATATAAAGCGGATCAAAGTTGAGGAGATTATCTCATTAGCACTACCATCTACACTCTCCAGTACTGCAACACTACAACTTGAGTACAACAGCTACAACGATGTTCGATGAAGATACGGTGAAGGTGGTCAGAGGGAGAACTGCTAAGAGGCAGAACCTTCTACACCGTGGTTTCCGCTACTCCAAAGATGGAAAGCCGACTGCTACTTCCATCTGTGTCAAGCGGTGATGCGGGCTGTCCAGCGACTTGGCTACAAGGAGCAGTACGAGCGAGTTACGAGGGATCCCACTACTGGTCAGAAAACCTACACTCCTACCCGGATCTGGATACGCAGACTGATGAACCTCGCCTACATTCCTAAAGCGGACGTCCCGGACGCCTTCTTCAGTATCTTGGCCCAGATGCCACCGACCTTGGACATCGACGACCTCCTCGCCTACTTCCAGACGATATGGATCCAGGGACTCACCACCTCCTCTGGTACTGGACGAGCCAAGTTCCCTCCACTCTCCTGGAACGCTTACGATCGGACCCACTTCCACATGAACAGAACGAACAACTTCGTGGAGTCCTGGAACAAGAAGTTCTCCGCTATCCTTGGACACTCCAACCCCACCATCTACAACTTCATCACAGCACTTCAGATGGAGTTCAACAGATGGGAAGCACGCAGCCTACCTGGTCGGAGAGAACCCACCGAAGAGGAAGAAAGCTCACAGCGACAAGGACAGGAGGATTGACCGCATGGTGCAGAACTACCTGCACTCTTACGAAGATGATGTTTTGACTTACCTGGATCTGCTCAGAAGTGTTATGTGAATTATTGATTGCTGTAACTTCTTGATAATGATTTGTGGGATTTAGATATTATTGCTATTGAGTGTGTCAAGTTATATTAACTTTTTGATTTTCAACAACTCAATATTCTCGATTTACATTGTCTGCAAAGCCCTGAATAAAAAAATGAACAACTAAACTAACAAGAATTATACAAAATGATAAAGAGAAAATAAAAAATAAAACTTATAATGCGAATCTAGAACAAAACTTAGAAACAAGTTGAATGTGTAAGTTCTGTCTTAGGTACAGTTTCTTGTAGTAGTACCGCCGTACTGTCCAAAGTAAAGTGGGTGTCATGTGATCCGCCGTACCGTCCAACCTTTTTGTCGGCACCGCCGTACCGACCTCCGCTGTACCGTCCTCCGCCGGACTGTACACCGCCGCAGTGACTTCCGCCGCAGTGACCGGTTCCCAACATCATATATACTAGAAAAGTTTTCTGTGCCTCCGGCAGAACAACGAGAACCTCAGAACTTTTCTGTCGTTAACTTACGGCACAATGAAGTTCTCATAGTTGACATATTCTAGACAAAAAGTTCGAAATGGAAACATTTTTGAAAAAATTAAACGGACTTTAACTTGGACAGACATTAAATGAACGGACTTTATTTGAACGGACATTAAAATGAACGCTAGGGCCTCCAGCGTTCAAGTAATGTCCGTCCAAATTAGGTCCGATAAGGTATGTAATATGTGACACTGTTAGTACTGTTATGTGGCACATTATCATATCATTTAACTTTTGGACACGAAGGGAAACACACATGTAAGGCTTACAATCTCCGTAAAACTACATCATTAGAGCCTGTAAAACTAAAACATTTAAGATAAGCACTCTATCAAGTAAAATTCATATCATCATAGTTTATTTAAGTTTAACTCAAACGTACAACTACAAATTGTAACAAAGGCAAAATTTAATCAAAGGGCAAAATTCATAGCATGTTAGAATTCTTATTTAAGTATATTATATCCTCTACAGCTTCTTCTACAGCTTTATTTGTAAATACGACCGATTCTATCAAATAATCCAGGTTGCAAGCAAAGATTACAAATTTGTTAAGATGCACTGAGTGAAATAAATAGAAAGTCTAAACATAAACAAATTACTGTTTTATCTCCATTGTATTAAGTCCTCAAACGTTAGTTTTAAAATTTGAACAAAATCTTGCTTCTACCTGATCAAATAAATTGGTTTTGTTGATCACATTTTGGACAATTTTTAACCCCCCCCCCCTATATAATACGTATAATAATATAAATACGTATAGCTATAATTCTGTCAAAAGTACACAAGCGTAATCATTTGGAAACCCCCCTTCCCCCTCGGCTGATTACGTAATATGTGAACGACACCATATGAATGTGGCACTTTTAAAATTAGAGTAAGACATTTGTGGCATTAATATTTGGCATTACACTATGCTCTTTGTAATATGTACTGTGTATGTCCTAAACTAGTGTTAAAGTTATGCAATTAGAGTTTTACTAATAGCTTATATTGCTTTTTAGTGTGGAAATAGTTTGAGTTACTTTTAAAGAAATCAAAATCTTATTACACAATTAAAACAGTATTTAAGGGCACACAAAAATTAATCTGCTGACACAATTTCACCCAACGATTGTTAGAATTAGCTTGGAGTCATCTGAAAATATGAACTTGTTCCGAAACGTTAAAATCTGTTTATATAATATTTACCAATATAGATGTAGACATAAAACTGAATAGCTCGTTGATGAAGAACATGAAATATTAATTTAAAGAACCTCGGTATAAAAACAAACTGCACACGTTCTAAAAGTTAAGACAGAATCGGTCACTTGTTTGACTATCAAAAGGCTCTAGTTTTATGTAAGAAGTATGAGTCATCTTTGCGACATCCCAATCCTCAGAAAACTGCACCGAGGCATAACAGGACCATGCCACCAAAAAATGTGAATGATAAAGTAATATGTGAACGACCCCTGATGGTCCATAAATTATTCTATAAATTGTGTAATAATTCTCCTAGCAAATTATTCCAGCTTTTATGCAGATATTAATATATTCCCAACTAGTTGAAGGTTCACAACCCGTCACACTAAAGTGCTTTCCATCCTTTTATGAATTACAGTCTGATTGCGAAAAATACTGATTATTGAGCTTAATCTTGTTCATCTATACTTAGAAGTTGCTTTAGAATTAAGAACGAAACTTATTCATAACTGCAAGATTTCGACACCAGAACCAAAGTGTTACATTATAGTGCCACATTAGAGTGCCGCATGTTTTTCAGAGTGCCACATAGCCCACACTTTTTTTTCATAGTGTCGCAAAAGTACTTTTTCGAGTGTCGCAAGTTTATGTGGCACTAATGTGGTGTAAGGGTGCTCTCCCGGACTCGCAACCAGAAGGTAGGGAGTTCGATGCTTGAATTTACACAAAATAATATTGTAACAGCTGGTTTATGGACCATGATGATAATACATTTTTTCAATGAAATTAAAAACACTAATTTTGTAAACTGAGTGATTCTAAACCGGGCAAATTTTCTGCAAACTATACTATACCGTGTTGACTATTGCCTCAACATCGTCAGTCAATCGAAGGCCGGACCGTCACGTCCACGCTTTACGCGCGGTGTTGAATTCGAATACAAAATAAGATCCTTTATATATCAAGACGGAGTTACAAAACGCGCGTTCCATTTATACCTCGTTTTTAGCAGTCTGAAGGACTATTATACAAAAGCTTAACCGATGTTATAATCACTCCAAACAGTCTTCATTCTTCTGTAGTATATTTTAATATTTTTAAAGATATATAAGTCGAAGATGAAAAGTCCAATTCTTAGAGTTATAATTGGGCATATTCATAATAAATTGTTCATATTTACTGTCCTCAAATACAATACATATTAGTCACATTATTTATAACTTGAAGTAAGACAATTATGTCTAATTTGATTTCTCTGATTTCGGCTAGTTTAGCTGCAAGTTGCAACCCATGTATTTCCATAGACGGGCTTGTTGACCAGGGCGAGTTTCTGTGGAAGAGGTTAGCGTTCTTTGGTTGCATGCAGGGAGTGACGAGTGTCTGGCGTTTGTTTCTATAAGCAGCTTTTCTAATGGCACTTTTCAGGAGACCTCCGTAACATTAGTAGCTGATTTTAAGGTGACCAAACCTGCAACAGTATTTATTATGTATTATCAATTGTTTACTTGGGAACCGGTTTTTGGTACACCGGCCAATCTTTACAAAATTATATGATACATAACAATATAATTTTATTTAATATACCTTAGTTCGTTTAATTATAGCGGGTTAAATTCAGCGGTTTTCGGTAATTCCACCATATTACCCGCCATTATTTTTATACCCGCCATAATAAAACCCGCCTAGTCAACTTTTGGATTTCTGGCAGGGTATACGCATGCCATAATAATTTTATCGTTCCTATTTTACATTGAAACAAGCGTCACGAACTCACTTTCTAGGTATTCCGACCACAGCGATGTGGTTTTATTCAAATACTTTGGTTGTAATGACCTGTACTGTCAAACTGATTGATACCGTAAATAAGTGGCGGGTAAAATATGGCGGATTTTCGGACAATCCGCCATATTTTTTCCCGCCAACATTTTACTCGCCACAATATTACCCGCCATAAATAAACGAACTAAGGTAAGTGAAAATAATAATTGAAAATTATGGTGTATCCTTTGCTTTATAATTTATTCTTAAAAATTAAAAACTTGCATAATCAAAACTTGCATATCATGATTTACTAAAACAAAGTAAAAATAAATTTGATTTGACTGTTTATAGGCCGACTGATCAATTACATTTGGGGCCATCTACTTAGAACGTCCGGCAAATAGGGAGGGGGTGGTTTCTGAAAATCCGGACGTCCGTAAATTTTATTTCAAATCTTTGAATTTTATTTCAACCCTTTGAATTTTATTAACAATGAATTGAGTTGGTTTTATTTGTACTCTTAAAAGTAGCTGGAAATCTGGATGTCTGGGGGAGGGTCGCCGGGATTGGTTTTGAAAATTCGGACACAACCGGACAGGGGGAAGTGGTCTGAAAATCTACGATTTTGGCGGACATCCTAAGTAGATGGCCCCTTGCACTTTTAAGTTACAAGGGTTGAAACTGGCCCGCAAGGTTTGTATGTCCTCAGCAAATTTTGTTAAGTTTCTTATAATTATCAGCTAATTTGCGATTAAAGATAAATGAACAGGGCAGAGTAGATAGTGCTTTGTTTCAACTGTAGTTAAACATAAGTAAATGAGCCCACGTCTTATCAGCACCTGCTAGCGCTATCATGACAGTGAAAAATGTGGAATTTGGTTGATAGTGAAATTTCACCCCTTCTTCTTAAAGGACCAGTTAACTGAAAAATTTGTAGTCTCCAATTTGGCTAAGATTTAAATCAGCTGTGACAAACTGGTAAAGAATCGTATCGCCGAAAGAACCAACTCTCTAGCGTACTTGTAGGGAGTGCACGATAAAAATAAACTTGCTCGGATTTTCAAAATTTTTGTACCATTGTTTTCTAGAGACTGTGAGAATTTTCACAGTACCAAATTTTGTATACCTTTTTGGAATGATCAGTGAGTTTTGCCTAAGTGCCATATTTGATGGTGCGCGGCTTTAGCCAGCAAAATTAGGTGTAAAAGTCGCGTAATTTGACGAAATTCTTTGATTTTTGTCGTATTATTCTGTCATAACTTCGCTTCCTGATCATGAATCATGCTGAAAGTTGTCAGAACCTTCCAATCATACTTACCTACCGAACCTAATTTAGTTGGGAGAGATTGGTCTTGATGAAGAGGTCTAAATATGACAAAATAGGTATAAATTCGTTGATAACTCGAATTCTGACCATCGAAATCGCTCAAACTAGATTAGGTTCAGTAGAACATAAGTGTTTACGTAAGCTGACCAAATTTCAACAAAATTGTTATATGGGAAGTATTATAACTTTTCGATTGTTTCCAAAATAATGTGCTGGCCGAAATAAGAGCTAAAAAACCATTCAATGGTCAGCGCGTGCGTCTTACTGTCGATGGCGCACCGCCTAGTGCTTGTAACGCGTGTTATTGCAATAATAAGCTGTGGCCTCGTGACGTCATAAAGTCCCTCAGTGCGCGCTTGCATAGCGTAATTTACATTACAAATGTTTATCATCGTCAATAAAACACGTGTAACTCACTCAAATTTTAGAATTATGACTATTACTCTAGTTCTCCAAAATCCTTATAGTTTTGGCTATCATTCTAACTAAAGGAATAGCTGATTGGATGTACAGTGCTCACGTCATGATTTTAAATAGTGATATAGGTTCTTGAACAGTGGCGGGTGAATGTACGGTTAGAAAGTTTCTGCTATTACAACTTATGTCATATGTGATAATTTTGGATTGTTTTCATTGCTTAATTACACAAGCAGCTAGGGAGACTGTGCCGATTATTTTTCCCCAGTCCATGAAACTCTAACGAATTTAGAAAGGATCTAGATAAGTAGGAGTTTATTCAATTCCGAGAGCAATTATATTTATAGCATAGCGAAATTTATAACTTTAATCCGCATGTGTCAGCCAGCACAGGAGACAAGAAGTCTGGCTACTTTACGGCCGTTCCTCTGGGACCATTAGTAGAAGTAGCTTCTATCAGAACAGTGCCGTGGGAACAGAATTCCCGCCAAAATACCCGGTCTCGGGTCTACCAAATAGTAATACTGATTGGACTTGGAGTGTACGGTGTGCGGTGTGTCTTGAATTAGACTTACGGCTTACCTAGTTGTTATCCTAATTGCATTATCATCGGTACATAACATAAATAAACTACTGGTAAGTTTAAATACCAAGTGCAAACGTGTTCAGTCAATCGACCCACTGAACAACTATAGAATTTCCAAGACCCTATTATTCTCTGGCCATATATTACGGCACGATCGATTGTTAGATGGCTAAACGACCAACGTTAATCTATACAATTCTAAAACTATGAGCTAGCACTTTAATCTAAAAATACACTTTTTATATTACTCCTGATTTTTACATTTCACGTAAAACATTGTCGCCACAGGTTGATCATGGACACTAACAGCTTGATTTGAGATAAATGACTAATGAGTTTCTCTAAAGTTAACTCTAAAGTTGTGTAGTCCAGTCATTTATGGACATTTATGGAAATGAACCTGCAAATATTCAAATACTCAGGAAACTTTGCACAGACCTTCCCGAAGGTATGAATAAACGATTTTCGTTTGGAGACATTTTTTTTACCGTGGAGAAAACCCAGGAGGGCCACGCCCATATTGACCCAATAACGTAACCGACCTCTTGCTTCTGAAGGTCGTAGAGACTTCAAAATAGGCTTAAACGAAGCCGCATATGCATGTTTATATAGTGTTTACTTTTCGAAAAATTCGCCAAAAACCATTTTGGGCGTGGTGCTGAGCCCATTTTCGATAGGATCGTGATAGAGTCTTTAGACAGGGTGCAAAAGAACCGCACATATTAATATATGACTTACGAACAAACATATGCCTTAAAGTGCTTACTTTTTCATTTATTGGCGAAAAACTGATTTTCGGTTCCAGTAATCATGCAAAACTATGGATATCTGGTAAATTGGGCTATGAAGGCCCTAAAGGTTTTTGAATGTGTGCAAATTGTGCAGAATGGCCATGTTTATATACAACTTATGAAGCAACATGTACCATAAATTACTTACTTTTCGAGTTATTCGGGGAAAAACATTGTATTATGTCCATTTTCTACCTGTAAAATACAGTCTCACGAGCTCTTCTGCGCGCACAAGGGACTTTATGACGTCATCGCCAAAATAATACAAACGCTATTTACACGCGTTAGAGAGCAGTTAGAGATTTATGAATTTCGACACGTTGCTTAGTTTGCTATTTGTCACAATCTGTCAAAATATGAGGATAACTTTTTTTTCAGTTAACTGGTCCTTTAAGATGGCTGCATCTGTTTGATTATCAATGACTTTCATCATTTGACTGAATATACCAAACTCGTTCGGTAGTTAAGATAAGAACCGATTACCACATTATAAGACAAATTGTTGCTTACCTGCAGCACTGATATAATGTTCCATCTTGTTCTCTGCAGTTTTCTGTGATCCACTTTAGCTATGTAAATGAATTCTGTGATCTTTAGGTACTTTAGTCTGAAAATACATGTACATGACAGCTCGAAAATAGAAATAACCAAATAGGATAAAAAATAAAGGAAAACTGATGATTTAGAATGGTAACAATCATAACTATTTATACCAGTTACCAATAAAAGACAAAAGCCATTCCTTACCCCCTTCTTCTAATAGTGGGTGACCCTATAATTGGCTATCGAAGTATTCGAAGACAAGTTTTCAAAAATTAAGATAAATACTTTGTAGCACATGCACAGGGTGGGCAAAAAAAGAGCAGCAAGATACATTTTGGTCCACCATGTTTTTAATTTAACCATGTTTTTAATTTAATTTTAATGTAATATTCTGGGTTATATCAGATGACACGATTGTGAGTCCAGATGAAAAGTAGTGGAGTGTGTGTAAGCGCTCTTGGTGTGTGAAACGATTCTTTAAGTTGGCATCTTAGATGTAAAAATTCATGCTCTGGAAGTCACATTGTGCTGTTTAGGACCGCTTTTTATTGAAGAAAATGGTTCGTTAGGCTGAAAAATGCAAAGATCTGAAAATAAGCTATCTGAAATATTTGCTATTCTTCCTAGCCAAATTAATCGCCGGTCGAGTTGAAGGTCAGCACTCATGTGTAATTGTAATAATCGGGCGTCCTGAAAATCGAGTTTTCGAAATCATGAAAGTAAACATCATCGCATCCCCTCCCTATTTCAGCCCAAAGTGCATGAATCAATGGTAAATTGCATGAATCAATGGTAAAGTGCATGAATCAATGGTAAATTGACTTTTAATACATGTTCAATTGAGTCATAACTGTCTTTTTCTGCAGTTAGTTGTAATTGTGGAGGAAAGCTATAAGATATACAATTAAGAAAAACTATTAACTAACCAGAAACACATTCAGTATTTTGCAGGTATATTAATCAGTAATAGTCACATCGTAAAGTAAAGCATCTGGCTCTGTTTTGAGTTGGTGTTCACCACACTTTTCCACTGACCAATGTAAATCGTAGCACCGCTTCGTATCATCTCCTAAAGCAGTTTAAACCAATAGTATTGCAATATATTTTTACTAAGCATATATCACATTAGAATCAACAAATTATTTTTCAATCAAAATGGAAATTTGATTCCTATGAACAATATCTCTGAAGCGCCATCCTACTTAGATTACTGTAATAGCTTTAAATACTTTGGAATTGGCAAGAGGCTATAACATCAAGTTCCATTTACTACAAAATGATCTAGCTAAAGCCAAAGATTTTAATAGGCCATCTAGAGGATGGACTGATCTATCTTTATTGGTTGGATATAAAGAAAATGATTGCACTCAAGATCTTGCAAGTTCTACAAGGATTGGCTCCAACTTATCTGCAAGATATGTTGAACAGATCTAAGATTAGTGTGGGTAGCTTCTCTGTAGTAGCTCCTACGAATGTACACTGTACAGGGGTGAGGGGGAGTCAAGGTATGAATTACTACCACCATTGGTTCGAATCGAAAAATATTCGTGTTTATTTCTTTTAAATGAAGGTCCATTTTCGCATTTATTTGATAGTTTGGATGAACCTAGAAGTAAACTTGAGGAAATATTCTTTGGTGAAAAAAAGTTATTTGGTTGTTAGTGCTTTTATTATGGCAAGTGGTTTCAATTCAGGGGAATTTAATAAATAAATAAATTAATTCTAACATTTATTACACCCTTCGACATTAAAATATACCCAACAAAGATGTACGTTTAAGTCATTCAAGCGAAACACCAAGATTATGGACTTTTTATCAGTTTTAGTGAGACAAGGTCAGTTTCTCTATTTTCTAAGAAAAATTTATACTTTACAGTAGGCAATGCTGAGTGGCAGGAATGAGGGACCAAAACGCTTGGGGCTAACAATGGCCCATTTACAAACCACTTCAGAAATGGTAATGATGTCATTTATATGCTTAATTCGTCTGCACTTCTAACACTCTATAAAAATCTCTTCCTAAATAGTTATAAAGATACCAGGATCTGCTCCCCGTAGGGTCTGCATCACGCACTAGTTTTAAATTTATCCAGGTATGCTTCTTTATCACCAAACATTATGCGGGCACACATTTTCTGTGCTTTTGTTTTTTTAAGAAAAGAATATTCAAACAATATACACATAATATAGCAATGGCCAATTGGCTGACTATAAGGTCATGGCCTGAACAAACAATTTTTTTTAAATAGTCAAGTGATGCTAAAGCAGAGCACAAATGTGTAATAAGTTAATAGATTAAAAAACTGATTCATGTGATGCATTCGCAGAGCACAGATAAAAATACTGATTCAATGATTAAAATTATAGCTGTGAGTGTCAATAAATTACTGTGTCGTAAAAAAGGAACGATGTACACGTGATCTGAAATACCAATATCTCAATATCAAAAGGATAGTGTCTTTTCTGTGCTTTTGTTAGATACTCCTCTCCAGACAGTTATACCATATGCAAGATAGCTTTCAAACAGAGTGTGATACAGATCTTTAAGGAGTGATGTGGGAATGTTATCTTTAATTCTATTTAGCATGCCACAGTTTTAATACTTATTTACCTCTAGATGTTCATTCCAGTTTAGGTCTTCACCGACTGTTACGCCTAAGAATTTAGTTTCATGTAGTCTCTCCTAAGGTGTCACATTTCTTAATTACTAGAGCCAAAATTTCAGAAGGAAAATAATTTAAAGGATATATCTGTCGTAGTAGAAGTGGGAGCTAGAGGCATTTACAATTATTATAGCCTCCCAACCTTTATGAACCACCTGTAAAGGTACAGTATTCAATCTGCAAAGCAACAACTCACAAAAATAAAACACCCAACATGTGTACTGACTTTTGCCCCCCCCCCCCCCACCCCCCCCCCCCCCCCCCCCCCCCCCCCCCCCCCCCCCCCCCCCCCCCCCCCTTTCGCCCCCGCCCTGTACAATCGTCTGGATTCTTTTGAAGCTCTTCTAAAACCTTGCCTTATTAGACTGTCCCTTCACGAACTTGAGAAACTTTATCAATAAGTTATTTTAGTCATATTTTGTGTAGGATCTTCAATTTTTTTTAATGAATAAATGTATGATCGAATGATACGAATGCAGCCGAATGATAGAAAACTTCCCCTTCAGTGCATACTTTAAACATAGTACTATTAACTATTAACAACTTTAAGACCTCCTTTGATATTTTGAAATGGCCACAACACATTTCAATATTTTAATTTCTCTAATTGCTAATTCAGTGAAATCTTGCATTTGTAAGAGTCATGTAGCTGTAAAGGATCAATGTAACCCGATTAAGTATGATGACGAATTATGTTGAAGTCTGAAGATAATATAAGAAGTACGTCGCAAATTATAAGTCGACTTTTGAGAATTAAGCAGCACAAGTTAAAAAACGATTGGAAACCCATAGTATGAATGAATACTCAATATTCCACATAAATCAGATTTTATGAAAACGTACTTAACAATTAAATTACATATCGAAAAAAAGATAACCAAACAGACTAAATATTAGTTTTGAAATGCAAAGATATCACTCAAATACTATCAATGATACTATAACGTACATGTGTGATTCATGACAGTATTTGCTTGTGCGCTCGATTTTCATACTGCGGAGTTAATTTTCGGAAATACGCGCGGCGCGTTTAGAGTTTTAATTTAATTTTAACATGATTTTTGCCGGAATTATTTTGATACATTTAATGTTTAAATTTACCTGGGGACCCCAGGCTATTATAGTTATGTTCATAACCATATTATTTAGCGGAATGACAGGATGGCACGAGCTAGGAAGTAACGCGCGCCGGGCCAAACCATTAACAATGGTCAACGTGCAACGTAAAATAATTTAATAAGTTATTAAATTATATATATATTAGCACTTTTTTAAATTTCTTCTTGCAAATCTATTTTTTGTTCATAACTATGAGCTGAATTTTATAGTATTAGTAACAAGTAACATCGCGTGCGAAGGGGAAACACTATAAAATTAAAATAAAAATAAAATGGACCCATCCGATCTAATCAGCAATTGCTTGCCCAAATTTTAAGAAAATTCTTGTGAAAAGGCCCTTTAGGTATTGGTATGGGATTAGGGTTTTTGTAAAACCGTTTTGTACGGCTGCAAAACCAATATCACAAAAACCAAAGTCACGTGAAATTTTTGGGCGAGCGAATTAGTAGAAGCCCAGTACAGTTTAATAGTTAATCGTAGGTTAAGGTCAGGGTTAGCCGTTATAAGGTTAGTATTTAATCAGGGTTGAGCAATCAAATTCAAAGAAACATAACATTAACGGGCGGCGGGCCGCAGGTGTTATTGTTATTTGAAGTTGGACTCGTCGTTACCTGGGTTGATTGACGATGTCAATCCGTCAAGATCGTTGCTCTGCGAAGCAGAGCAACGATCGACGAAGCAAGAATGCTAGTTCGCGCGGCGCGTCGAAGCGGCAAAGTCCTCCAATTACCTGGGGACCTCAGGCTATCATGTTCATAAAGAGATTAGGCGGAATGACAGGCTGAGCGCGGCTTTTACTAATTCGCTCGCCCAAAAATTTCACGTGACTTTGGTTTTTATGGTTTTGCAGCCGTACAAAACGGTTTTACATAAACCCTTATCCCAACCCTAACCCTAACCATAACCCCGAAGCTAACCATAACCCTTACCACAACCCTAACCCTAACCCGAGCCCTAAACAATCGAATTCGTATTTTACTAGCCTGTCACGTGACCAAATCGGATTTTTGCCCATAACTCTCCAGGGAAGCATTTTAACCCTACGTCATGGGGGGTGATTCGGAATCAGCGTCCAAAAATACACCGATTCTGATCACTTTCATGCCCAAAGGGCCTTTTCACAAGAATTTTCTTAAAATTTGGGCGAGCGATTTAGTAGGAGCGGCTGAGCGCGGCCCAGTAAGACTCGTCGACGGTCCTATTTGGACGGTAATATTTATGGAACACATATTTTACAAGTATCGATCACCCGTTAAGGTCCAATTTATCGTTTTGAATAAATGTTAAACTGTTGATTGCTTTTTTGCTTTTGTAATTGTTAAATTAAAACAGTTTAACTTTAAATTGTCGGCAGCGGATGTTTTTTATTGGTTATTCTGAATTTTAAATGCTTCCCCATTATAATTAATCGAAAGGGGTTATTCGTACAGTTACAGTATAAGTATCATTATTATATCACGATCACGGTACACTTATTATAAGTATAAAACATAGTTTTAACAGGCAAAATTGGACATGACAACATTGACATTTAAATAAATTAAAATGTCAAGTTTGTCGTTAGGCAGGGTTAGTCGTTTAGTTTTTGGCGAAAGCTTGTTAAGGGATGGGGTTGTGCCGCATTGCAATGCATATTATAGATAAAAATATTTGTATCATAATTTTAAGATTATTATGTACTAAAAGGTTAATTTCATGTCAGTCAGACTCAGACTCACAATCGGAGGCACACAGAGAGGTATTTATATTCGATGAGCCTTTGTTTTGTAGTTGACCGATGATCACAATTGTAATACAATCATGTCATCTGTAATTTGTAATCGTATGTAATTATGGTTGATATATATAATAAGAACACTGATCAATTCAAGCTTAACAAGCCAAATTATGATTGCAATCATCAAACAAATTAATATCGTCTTTAGCGTTATTTATGATTGCTGAATCGCAGTATGAATCGGGCAGAATTATATTTCACGTCTCACGATATAATCGTAAACATCAATTTTATAACTTAAAGTTGAAATATCAACCAGTTCAGTTGATGATTCTTGCAAAAAAAAGCAGTATTGTACCTAACTATGCAGCATATTGGAACCGTAAGTGCCACATGTGAGTGCCGCAAGTGTCGCATGCTGCATATGATAGTGCCGCAAGTGCCACATGTGAGTGCCGCAAGTTTCACATGCTGCATATGATAGTGCCGCAAGTGCCACATGCGAGTGCCGCAAGTGCCACATGTGAGTGTCGCAAGTGCCACATGTTACATATGATAGTGCCACAAGTGCCACATGTGAGTGTCGCAAGTGCCACATGTTACATATGATGGTGCCACAAGTGCCACATGTGAGTGTCGCAAGTGCCACATGTTAGTGCCACGAGTGTCACAGTGCCACATTTACGTTATAAGGTTGTCTGCCGACAGTTGAAACAACTTATGACTTAGAATTCAGATCGATGCATTTTTGGACGCTAAATCCGAATCTCCCTTATACTAACTCATAACTATAATTATAAAGTCATGGCTTCGAGGTTAGACTTATCATAAGTATAACCTCGAAGCCATAATGGTTAGGGTTAATGATTCAAGTACGAGCTTAAAAGGGTTTACATGGGGACTCCAGGCTATAATGTTCATTCCGCCGATTTGCGATCAAAGCTGCGGCAGAATGACAGGCTGAGCGCCGCCCAGTAAGAAAGGGTTGGCATCGTCAATCAAGTATTAGTATTACTATGACTTTAACGTTTCGGACACAATCAGTGTATTTATAGTTTACGACTGTGTTGTTTGTACAGAAAATAACTCATCACTCGTTGAAGCTCGGAGCTTGGCTTCTCTATCAAATATAACTTTCCCATGATTGCAACTCTTATCATCAATAGAATAACTCGTTACAGAGCCTTTTGTAAATAACAAGTCGCATCGATCAGTCGTACTCGTATCAGTTATTATCGCAAACTGCTTTGAGGATTTTGTGATTTCTGAGCTGAGAGTCGTTCCTACTAAATCGCTCGCCCAAATTTTAAGAAAATTCTTGTGAAAAGGCCCTTTGGTTGTGAAATTGATCGAAATCGGTGTATTTATGGACACTGATTCCGAATCACCCCCATGACGTAGGGTAAAAATGCTTCCCTGGAGAGTTATGAGCAAAAAACCGTTTTGGTCACGTAACATGCTAGTAAAACATGAATTCGATTATTTAGAGCTCGGGTTGGGGTTAGGGTTGTAGTATTAGTAAGGGTTATGGATAGCTTCGGGGTTATGGTTAGGGTTAGCCAAACCCAAATAGGGTTTACAAAACCCAAATCCCAACCCTAACCGTTAGGGTTGGGATTTGGGTTTTGTAAAACCGTTTTGTACGGCTGCAAAGTGCAAAACCATAAAAACCAAAGTCACGTGAAATTTTTGGGCGAGCGAGTTAGTAAGAGCCGCTGAGAGTACAACTACAATTATATCCAAAATTACGCTCTTTTTCTCGACATAGGCGGACGCTAGATTTCCATCCACTGCAAGATCTGATCAGCGATAACTTCATGATACAGTAAAACCCCTATTTACCGTACACAGTACCTCTTTCCCCTAAAATGTGTAATTAAATCTACAATCTAGGAATTATTTGGGCATACACACGAACCAAATTTGCTGGCTTTTGGCCCACAAATAAGTCATAAATATTTTTGAATGTGACCAATTTTATATATAAGGTTAACCTAAACTGTAACTTCTCTGATTTCAAAAAATCAGAATCGCGATCGGCCTACTAATACTATACTGAAAATATTTCAAATCGTAGCCTATCTACATTCTACAGGTAATTTATGTGTTAACTGTTATGTTTAATTCTGGAATTGTAGTTGTACTATACGCCATTTCCGCCTTTACACTTTAAATCTTATAATCATGGCGAGCATGGATTGGTATGCTGGAAAAGCTTTTTAATAAAGAATTTTATGCTGCCCAAACAACAAAGTAAAATTTTGAGTTTATGTAGGTACTATTTTTATAGTGGTATACAACGTGTCGGTGTATCGAGGTTATGAATAAGGCAAAAAAGTTGCCCAAAAACCGCTTTATAACGAGGTCTGCGTTATATATGTTTTACTTTTAACGGACTACTATTGTATTTGTACATGTGCTCTGATTTAGGTTCATGAATCGACTTGTTGGTGCTCTTATGTGTTGGCTGTGTCACGAAATAGGTGAGTGCTCGTTTTTAGTTCTTAATTTGCTTTTACATAGCTTGCTAGTCTATTGCTCACTTCCCTCACGTATAGCTATATATTTGTTCAGGAAGCTGATACATTAGTTGTATAACTATAATTAAATACATACCGTTCACGTAATATAATGGTCAAATAACGTCTGATAAGGTTTTATGATAAATATGCAGATATTTTATTTTTTAGCGAACTTAATTTTTCCTTGTTATTCAATCAGTGTACGCTGACGCATATAATTGTGCACGAATTGGACAAGTAGAATGTTCAGATGGTGACGGCTGTTTCCCATATGCATGGTTATGTGACGGAGAAGAAGACTGCAATGATGGATCTGACGAGGATAATTGTGACGGTTTGTTTGAACTACCTTATCGAACATAATTGTCACCGACAAGTTTTTCACGGAACAAATTTGTACGGACATAGTTATTCACGCTCATGACCGCCCAAAAATTTCCAAGAAATTGTGAAAAATATTGGTTATTTTTTAATAAGATTAAACGGATAATATAAAACGGATTAAACGATTCAAAAGTCAAATTACATGGTAATGTCTGACCCAATGTAAAAAGTAAATTTACCCAAAAGTCAAAAAGTATATATACAAGAGAATGAGAATAAAATTGCAACCACTATAATAAACAAAGAAATAATCACCGTGTGCGAACATCTGTCCAATATCAGAGAAGAGTAATGTTTTACTTTGTGGGGTCAAACAGTGACGAACATTTTCATAGAGAGGGCAAGTGCGCAATACATGAAGCTCATCTTCGATGATTGGATCAGGGAAAGTAAGCTCTACAAGAAGGTCGAGTGACTCCACATCTGTAGTAGAACAGTGTTTGCATGCAGTAATAAGTATTTTACTCTTTTTCTGAACTCTAGAATGTGACTGAGAAGTGATTATATTTGTCCTACTATAATAAGCTAATATTTAGTAATCGGCTTATACACACATATCTACGCATATGTAGGAACACACACACACACACACACACACACACACACACACACACACACACACACACACACACACACACACACACACACACACACACACACACACACACACACACACACACACACACACACACACACACACACACACACACACACACACACACACACACACACACACACACACACACACACACACACACACACACACACACACACACACACACACACACACACACACACACACACACACACACACACACACACACACACACACACACACACACACACACACACACACACACACACACACACACACACACACACACACACACACACACACACACACACACACACACACACACACACACACACACACACACACACACACACACACACACAAACACACACACACACACACACACACTCAAATTAATGGAAAAATTACCTTTATTATTCACGGACCTTAATAATAAATAATAATGGCACAGACATTATTTTCACGGACATAATTATTTACACTAAGGTCATCAGCGTGAAAGTAATGTCCGAGATAATTATGATCGATACGGTGAATCTTTGCTTAATTGTGCTAAACCATGTGTGACCAACAAACTAGGGTAAGTGACCAAACCTTTGGACTTTTGAAGAGTTGTGGACTCCGGGCGCCTACAAGTTCCCACGCCCATATTTTTTTCCAATTTTGGCTCAATTATTTCAAATCATATTACATGCCCTGCCTGAAGCTTTAAAGGATGAGGGGACCTTAGAAAAAGTTTTTTTCTCGTGCAAATCGTAAAAACCACTTTAGTGAAATCCGCAAAGTTGTATTTCATTCGCGCGCCGAGATATCCAGCCAAAACAATTTGAACCTGTGACGTCAATTATGTGAGTTGCTCTGATCCGCGCATATAGAAATACAGGTAAAATGAGCGTGCGGGCTGACTAAATTACTAATTAAAAATACATAAACAATTTACAATACTAACAAGCCTATAACCAATGGAGAGGAGACTTTTTATGACCGGTTGAAAAAAGAATTATCACCCTACGATAACCATGAGCCGAGATACACCTGAAATAAGATTGAAGTCACACAGAAAGGCATGTAAATTATGTATATTTATAGCTCCCAACGTAACACCTAGCAACTCCCTGTATCGTACCACAGTTGATATATCAACATGTCATATCAACACAACACGGTCCTAATAAAAACGGATCGGGTAGGTATGAAATGCATGTCTTCATTCCAGTTGGACAAGCACCAAGCACCAAGCTTTTAAGTTCTAACTCACTATGTGACACTATTTATAACGTAAGCAAGATTTGCAACTATTACACCAAGCAATATTATACCAAGCATAGCAGACGAACACATCCACATTCGTTACGCTTTACACTCAAGTCACAGCAAACTAAAACGGTAAATTATAAATGAGTGTACAACTAAAGGCCGGTACACGCGCAGTGCCAAACCGCACGTGCGCACTCAGATAGGACTAGAGGCGCCAAGGGCCAGCTAGTAAAATGTATTCTACTACATCATACATTCAATCGATTTTTAGATCTTCTGTTGCTAGGGGGTGCACCATAAAAATAAACTTGCTCGGATTTTAAAAATTTTTGTACCATTGTTTTCTAGAGACTTTGAGAATTTTCACAATACCAAATTTGTCATACCTTTTTGGAAAGATCAGTGAGTTTCGCCTAGGTGCCATATTTGATGGTGCGCGGCTTTTGGAGCAAAATTAGCTGTAAAAGTCGCGTAATTTGACCAAATTTGACCAAATTCGTTGATTTTTGTCGTATTATTTGGATATATCTTCAGTTCCTTGAATGAGATCATTCTGAAAATTGGCGACGACCTTCCAATAGGGCTTTCACAACTGTCCGAAAAATTTGGTGGATATCGGAGTTGATGTAGTGATCAAAATGGGGCAAAATACGCTGCTTTTAGCTGTAACATAATGTCTGATGGTTGGATATGCTTTAAACTTTTCGGACACTTTCCTTGTAAGTCTATAAGTAAGCTTACCAATTTTTGTTGCAATCGGAGGTCGGGAAGGATACTTAATATCTATTTGTTTGAAGAAAATTGTGCTGGCCGAAATTAGCGCTAAAAAACCATCCTACAGTCGGCACGCGCGGCTCACTGTCGATGGCGCACTACCTACTGTTGCGGCGCTTTGCTGTCTTAAAAGTTTGTTCATTTGAAAGCTTTTTCACTATAAATACAGGGTGGGCCAAAAGTCAGTACCCATACGTTGGCCTTTATAGCTCAGTCACTGATTGCCCAATTTAAATACTTCTTTCTGGTATGACTTAGTACCACCACTGGTTCGAGGAATTTGTCAACTCGAAAAATATTCGCGTTCATTTTTTTCAAATGGAGGTTCATTTTCACATTTATTTGATAGTTTGGATAGTCGGATCAAGCTAAATGTTATTGAATTGTGTTTGGCCATTCGAATTACGTTTGTCCTGAAAGAATTAGAACTGTAGCTTCTCAGATGACCGAGATATGAAGCATAACGAGTTTAACTTTATTCATTACGTGTGATCAGGTGATTGGTTTACCTAATCACGTGATAAGGTGCCCCCGTTAACTACCCCGTTAAACATTATGGGAATTGTTAAGGGTGCCCAATTAAGGTGTCGTGTCACGGTGTCACATAATCACCCAGTCAATATTGTTAACGAGATACAGAAAATGCTTGATAACTTCGTCATTTCTAATCTGTTTTGCCTCATGTTTTCAGATCATATGCAACATTTGATAATCTACCGTCTCTAAAAAAATTAGGCGTTCAGCATGTTCAGAGAAAACAATATAGGTGTTTTAATATTGAATGGGCGTGGTCTAAAATATTCGAATTTTCAAATTTTGACGACGGAATCCTCGAACCAGTAAGTACAGTATGCCATCTGCAAAGCAACAGCTCTCAAATATAAAACACGGCGGAGCTATTAAGGCCAACATATGGGTACTGACTTTTGGCCCACCCTGTATAAAGAGTGTCTTTATACATCCAATTATAAGCCACCCATATTTTAAACTGTACTTTCATCTGGCATTTATATTTGGTTTTTGATCAATTATCATATTTCAATGTACAAATAAGATACTATAATTCATTGAGATAATAATGTTAGGTAATGTTGAATACAGTTACAATACATTGCATATATAATAAGTACCATTATAAAACTATCACCCTAGCTCTATACTTGGAGCTAGGGTGGAGAGTGAGGATGAAGTTGGAGAACAACAGGCGGCAGAGAAACAGCAGTGCGATTGCAGCTCGTGTGGTGATGAACTCGAAGACGATTCATATTGCTGTTCGACAATCGGGGTTGCGAAGGAACTGACCGAAAGAGAGTCAGTCAACTGCATTACAGACATTCATAGATTCAAAGCGTCAATTTGCGACGAGTCTGTTTTAGAACTCATCGCATATTCTGTGAATCGGAAGGAGTTCCCGGAAAAGGATGATGTTGAGAAAAGGAACAGGCTATACCGTTTCGCTGCTTACAGAACATTCTTTGGGATACTGGAGCTGAACGGACTGGGTAAAGGACGGCGCTTCAGACTACCACAGTGTGTGGTGAGAGTTATCCGCAGAATGTACCCCAGCAAGTCAGGCAAATATGTCGGATTTAAATCACTAAACGAACAAGTTTCGGAAAAGCTAAACATATATTAAGTGGGTCGGTCAACATATCTTCTATTTCATATGTAGTGCTCTGCCAATTGCAACACTTGATTTGATTGTGCTCTGCCGATTGCAACACTTGATTTTATATTGTTCGTCGCACATTTCATATGAAAATACATTCCTTTATTCTTGTATAAAGAAATATGCCGATTTTTAATTGTGTCCATATCGGGTTTCAAACAAGTCAAAACAAAATAGCAGTTTGTGGTTTAGTTAGCGGATGCTACTTATCTTAGCTATTTATAAATAGAAATACCTACTACAACTACAAGAAAGCCTTTCTGAGTTACATTTAACTATTAAAGAGAATTATTCGTAACTTAGACTAATTCAGTGCAACCAAAGATACCGCTCTCGCAAACGCCAAAGGTAACACGACGTAAGTAAAACAGAACAGGACAAAATGTTGACACGAGCGAAGGGTGTGCGCGCACGCACGTTGGTCTTACACATAATTGACGTCACAGCCCAAAATTGCTATCAGCCAATAGGAGCGCGGCGTGATATTGCACGAATTATCGATTTCACAGTCCGGCGTATTTTTTGATTCTACACACTTTCACAGGACTTAAACGCGAATATTTGAAAGTAAATTCTAAGGTCCCCTCATCCTTTAAAATATTTGCTAATATATGAGCCAAAAACTATATAATGAAATATAAACATTTTTAAATGAAACAAACTTTATATGAAATGTAGGTAGGCCTTATTTACATATTATCTAAAATTAACAGCTCAAGTTAAAATGTAGATTTTGGTCAAAAGACCACCAAATCATCAATATCAGTGTTAAATTCCTGATTCCAAAAACTTTAACTCGATTACCGATTCATATTTTCATAAAAAGAGGCCCTTATAGTTCGAGCGTGCTAAATCACTCTTCTTTCTACAATCGATCTTAAAAATTTGCACACTGTATCTCGACATACACTGTATATCGTCACGCATGTTCTATCGCTCTGTAGTAGAATGCCTTACGGGCATTTCCTACTCGATACGCTAGGGACCCCAGAACCTCCGTATTTTTGACCGTATAATTTATTAAAAGTGGTCCTGAGATGATTAGACTGAGTTTACCAATACCAGGTTAAAACCCAATTTTCGGTCCAAAAATAGGCCAAAAAGCCATGTTTTAAAATCTTTCAGCAAGTTAATTTCGTTGGCATATCAGCAAAATTTGCATAAAAGTGTATTAGAACTAGCTTCACAACATAGTATCAATATTGTACTATTATTTCAGGATTTCCCCGGTCAAAATCCAATCGAATGGCGATATAAGGTTGTCGAGATACAGTGTCTGTCGATATAAAGTGTGATTACCAATTTTCAAGATTTTTCGAAAAGGGTCCTCGACAGTTAAAAACAACTTGGAACGATGTATTTTCGAACGCTGATTTCGAATCACCTCACATGACATAGTAATGTCTATGGTTAAAATGCTCCCCTGGCGAAACATCGACGAAAAACTGTCTCGATCACGTGATATGAACATATAAGGATTAAGGAAGTTAGATAAGAGGGTTACCAAGAAAACGTGTTAAAAAAGTCACGTGACAATCGAGTGTAACAGTAAAGTGATTATCTTTATCCCGGTTGTTGCGACAAGTGAAAATGCTCTTATTAGGGAAAGGAGTTTACTCGACGTTTCAATGTAACTACATCGTATTCATGATCTCAAATTATTTGTTATATAGTAGTGTTGAAAGTATTAAAATACAACAACAACCGGGATAAAGATAATTTTACACAGAATACATTACAACAATGCGACTCATAAATAATACTCCAATCCGGATTTTACGTAAAGTGATTAATCATAATCCCTTTTAATTTGTTGGTCAAAGCTCCTAACTCGAAATCAAATAAAGTCCAATTAATGTCTGTTCAAATGAAGTTCGGTAAGGTAATCGTTGTAATCACTGGAAAGCAGTTCTGTGAAACCAAAGCCTAAAATTTTTGTTAACCCGACTAAATTTGTGTTATGTTTTCAATCAGAGTGTGTGGAAGATGGTTCGACAAAATGTAGAGATAGTAAGGGTAATTGTGTCCCAGATCCTTTCTACTGTGACGGATTTGAAGACTGCACCGATGGATCAGACGAGGATGGATGTGAAGGTTTGTTAAAACCTAATCTGAGTTCCACTTCGCCCCCAAGTCCCAACCATACACGAAATCTTTAAATTGAGTGAGACAGTCAGGCACGGTTGGCTACTTAATCGATGCGTGATATAAGGTTAATTCAAATATAGATTCAATTCGAAATATAGTAATTGGAAATTAATGGGAAGAGCCGGGATATGAGAGAAGGCGATAAACCGGTTAGACTCACCGTCGATTTCCCAAAATTGGTTGGATACTACTTGAGTACTAGATTAGAATACTAATACTAGTAATCTGGTATGTACAATGTGCAATGTACATACATATTACATTGTACATATAGTTGCATATCACAAGAAATGACTAGATTACTCAAACAAAACCGTAATTGTAAACCAGAATATCCCCGATTACACAAGTAGTTGTTCTAAAAAAGGTGCATTTGGTGTGAAAATGGTGCGCGTCGCGCGAGATGGTCACCGAATTTCCTGAGAAGCAATTTTGAGATACAGGTTTAGTGTATGGGCAGGATATTCGATTGAACCAAGTACTAGATTTTGATGATCATTCAAGTTGTTACTGTAAGTCGAACAACATATTCGATGAACATATAGTTTTTCTAGTCCTATCTGTTACATGATTGTTTCAGGTCTTGAAAGATTTATTTGGTATAATTTGACTGCGTCATATTGTTCAGCTGACTGTGGAGAGGGCACTAGATCCAGAACAACGCTGTGTCAAAATAAAATTACAGGCAGGGTGGTGAGCGACTCATATTGTGGAGGAATCAAATACCAGACCTGCAACGCACACAAATGCCCTAGTAAGTGTAATATAACAATTCACGGACATTATAATTTCAATTTAGGAATAAGTTTTACCAACGTTGCTTTTGCAAATACATATCTGACCAAATATTAGATATTTTAGATCAGGCTATCCATTATCGGTATGAAATCTTGTGTCTAGATAAACAGATATCGATTTAGGTTTTATCTTCATTCTAGATAAAACCGATAATTTTTCTGCTGAAGGCAAAAGCTAAAATGTTTTCCAAATTTCACAAAAACTAATTGTCGACTTTATCACTGTTTACCAATAATCTTGGTAAAGTACCACTTCCTTTATTCTGAAAATATTAGAGCATCAGTTTTCTTCTCCGGGGAACAGTTGTGCAACAATTCTCTTAAAAATACTAGAGCACCAGTTTTCTTATCCTGCAAATAGGGGTGAACATTCTCCAGAAAACAGTATAGCGCTAGTTTTATTCTCCTGAGAACAGTAGTGCTATAGTCTTCTTCAAAACAGTAGAGCACCAGTTTTCTTCTCCTAAGAACAGTAGTGTACCAGTTCTCCTCGAAACAGTTTTTCTCTCCTGGGAACAGTAGAACATAAGTGATTCAATGAACCGTTTTCTTCTCCTGTGGATAACTTGGAGCAACAGATTCCTTCTCATAAAGACAATTTTTCACTCACACTTCCGGAATTCAATTGAGTGCCCTGTCGATATTTTTGACTCCTGTTAACAGTAACATGCTCGTGCCCGTCTCCAGAATGTTTTTAAGGTAAAATGCAAGCACCCTCCTCAAGATAAAAATATCAATAACCTTCTCTGGATTTCTACAGTTCTACAGTTCTACAGTCCCATAGGTATGCAAATGTAAATAAACCTCTTAAGCTCATATCTAAGTAAACTACCTCTTCTATCATACTAGAAGACGTTTTGGACTATGTTTCTTGGATTACTTGGGAACAGAGAGAGGCAAAACCACTAATAGTAATATTTCCTTCAAATTTCACTGTATTGTGGCAGCATTTTCGGTAATTTCTAGTGAATTTGTATACCGATAAAAATATATTTTATCTAGATCAACAGATACATTTTTAAACGAATTATCAGTTACGATTATCGGAGTGGATAGTATATTTTAGATATTTGACGGTTTGGGAGCAGGACTATTGAGCGGTGGACTGTTGAGCGTAGGACTGTAGGTCGGTGAAGGTCGGAAGTAGGACTGTAGAGCGGTGTCAAATCGCCAGGGTAGGACTCTAGAGCGGCCGCCCTCAACATGAGGACTTTAGAGCGGTACGATCCTAAAATGAGGACTGTAGAGCGGTGGACTGTTGAGCGGTGGACTGTAGGCCGGTGAAGGTCGGTGAAGGTCGGAAGTAGGACTGTAGAGCGGCCCTCCCTTATAGATCCCATAACATGAGGACTCTAGAGCGGTACCCTCCTATAACATGAGGACTCTAGAGCGGTACCCTCCTATAAGATGAGGACTCTAGAGCGGTACCTCCTATAACATGAGGACTCTATAGCGGTTAAAAATTTGAAGATTGAACACTCAACGAAGCTAAGTTATACATTGTAACTCGTGATTGATTATGGTCATGACATTCTAGGATGACAACTTTATTAAAGAGTCATGGAGTTAATGAACATTTTCATTATAAATATTTCATTACTAATATTATAGTGTATCTTTATTTAAGATTATTGGTCGGTCTCAACGTCTTCCAAAAAATTTGAATATTAGGATGATAAAATCGATAAAACTTATTAATATTACAAACAATTACGAAAAATCAATACTATAACTTTAACAAATATCAAAATAACATTTCACTCCTCAGCCATCACATTTCGCAACATGTCCAGGTGCGAGACGAGGTCCTGATCATCGTATACTTCAACTAGGTGGGCTAATCGGCGGTCCTTCGTGATTTGACGGGCTCGTTTAGCAGGAGGAGCGTCCCCATAGCTCTCCTTGAGTATCATCTCATCCGTCGTGGACTGTTCCACGTAAACAGCTTGTAGGAAGTTCCAGATGGTAGGATGAGAGTGACCCACCATGGCTGCAAACTTTCTGTTGAAGGCCTCTGCGTAG